TTGGAACATTAAACTGATAAAATTATTGAGTGTCTTGAGAACTTTATTTCTTCTCCACAGAACCTACAAATGCATAGGTCATAATTATTTCAATCACTCCTGTAGGAAAGGTATAGCCTTATTGTCATATGTAGGAAAGGTATAGCCTTATTGTCATATGTTGATCCAAAAATCTTTCAGAAATATCATAATAGCCACCATTATAGTACTTACAAACCACAATATTTATAAAACCACATTCCGTGTGCAACTTACACGAAGCTATAAATCAAACGCAATCAAAATACGAAACGTAGTGTCACTGGACTAAACGTCTTCTCCAAATCAGGGGGCAGCACTGAATTATATTTTGTTGTGTAATGAAATGCGGCGAACACCCTAAATGTTCTACGCACTATCCTACATAAACGTTCATAGTTTGCTCTTTATATTTAGCTAATGCCTAATTACACAAAATAAAATTTATTGGTACATACCAATGGTATTTTTTTTTAATTTAGAAGGAAATCTTAACGTCTCGTCTGTAAGTTCCTCCTTATAGTTGATGCCTTATTTCACATGAATTCGATTTTATTGGGAGGAAATACAAAGATCTTATTTTGAAGAAAGTTTAGTTGTGCTTGTAAGTTGAACCAGTTTGCTTAACCGAAGAGCCTTAAGAGCAAAAACAATAGTTGTTAATTACATCTTAAAGTAGCCGAGTATGAACAGTGTGACTTCTAATTTATTTATTTTTCATATTTGATAGGCCAGCGTTTGACCACTATCTCACCTGGTGGTAAGCGATGATGCGGGCTACGATGGAGCACCATTTATGCTTTCTCTAAGATTACCTTTTTATAAAATCAATACCAAATAAAAATATCATCTCCCTATAAACTAGTAAATCGCTTCCGCTAACAAAACTGCTGCGTTGCACAGACCCAGTGCGTGTTCCCATTAGCGAATGACGATGAGAGCGCATCAATCATAGCACGGCCAATTCATTACCACCACTCGGCGCAGATTGCCCGTAAGCATTACCATTATCTACCACTGTCCGATAATTCATGGACACTATTTTATTTTTATTTAGTTCCTGTAATGTCAAAGGTAATTTGAAGAAAAATGGCATCAGTTGCATAAAACATATTTAAATCAAAATTTAAAGAACATAATGACAGGATTACTTGAATAAGGGTATGGTGCTTCAAATGTCAAATTCTACCAGTACTTACAAGATAAAGTTGAAAGTCCGTAAGGTAAGAAAACCTTGAATATCCTTGTGACATATCCAATATTTTCTTCCAAATATTGTTATATCAGAACATGATCGATGTAGGTCCTGACGTATCGCTGTGTTCATATTGTGACGACAACTTTGTCGGCCGCATATGTGAGGCTCTGACGTCATTGTGCAATCTAGTAAATGGTCGACATGGAGGTAAGAATGGGGTGGTCAACTTATAAAGAGAAATATGGAGGAAACATCGGTTACACAAATCTATAGATGGCGAACTCTGAGAACTAAGTTTATAAAGCACATAATTAGGTGCTCAAGTACATAACTCAGTTTATTGTTCAAATTCAGATCATAGTAACCTTATAGAACTAATGCTTCTAAAGTTGTTTTTTTCTTAAGCATTAGGATTCCTTAAAAAATCTTGCCCAGAGTTAGATACATCTATGTAGCTCTTCTAAAATACTGCCTCGTTGGCCGAGTGGTCGCAAGTGCGACTGCCGGGCAAGGGGTCTCGGGTTCGATTCCCGGGTCGGGCATTACTGGGTTTTTAAAAAAAAATCTCAGTAGTAGCACGGAGTCTGGAATTGTGCCCGGTATAGGGCAATAGGCTCACCCCCTATTACATGGGACTCATAACATAAATAGTGAAAAGTGGGTGTTACATTGTACAGTGTCATAATGTGCACCTCTGCCTACCCCTTCGGGGATAAAAGGCGGGATGTTATGTTATGTATGTCTCTTCCAAAATAAAAGTACATTCAACTCTTTTACATTTAGGAACCCACAATGCCATATCCAATTAACATCAGTCCAAGTTTATCAAATCAGTTGACAGGTCCACTGCGTTCCGTTGTCCAATTTAATTATATTTGTCGGTATGCCAGCCATTTTTAATATTTTCTCGCATGTCCTGACGCGTACGTATTGTGGAACGTTTGCCAAAAGTTATGTCCAGTTTGAAGACAGACTTACCAGGCTTTGCTATTTCTGAATCATATTTTCTGGGTCCATATTGAATTAAATTGCGAATGCATTAAAATTTTTTGGGCAAAGTTGTAAGCAAAATGGACAACGGTAATATGAGGAAAGGCAGTAGCAAGCAGCAAGATGCGTTTGTTAGTGTCACTGCGGTAAAAGAGGAATTCATATTTTGTGAGTATTTTTTTTTTTGGTTCCTGTATATTTGTATATTATATTCGACTATGGAACTGCATTTATCTGATATAATCTGTAATTTTTGAACGGATTTTTGCAAAAATTTTCACGCAATTTCACTACAAAAGTGTATTACAATACCTGAGTCTAAATACAGAACAAATTAATACCTACTTCTTTATTATTATTATCACAAATTCCTCAGTAACTCCTCCATGGAACCAAATAGATATTTTCTTCGGAGATGTAAATCATAGTGTACACTAAACAATACGTTGACTACAATAGCTCCATTTAATCACGAAGTAGCTTATTGCAGTAACGTTATTACGACGCGAGCGCCCTCTGCCCCACTGCGATGCAGTAAATTTCAATCAAAATGATGGTAACTGCCGGACGGACCGAGTGAGTGATTCTGGTTACTGTTTGCGATGTAGAGACGATTTCGTTTAGAATTGTTACAACTTCACTTGTTTCACACTTCACATCCTTTGAGTACCGTCATTATAGACACAATTAAAGAACAATGAAGAAGGTGTGCGGATACCGGTGTCCTCGCGGTGTTTGACAGTTTGAATATTGTTGTTAGTAAAATTCGTTATTAATACTACCTGGAAGTTGATTCACTCTTTGCCATAAGACTTATAGAATTGAACACTAGAGACCTCTACCAGGCACATATCGCTGCATATAAAATTTTCTTTAAAGAACAGAATTTTATAAAACTTCTTCTGTAATGTTTCACTAAGTAGTTATTGTTGGAATAAAACTTGTTAGTTAAAATTAGGAAAATTAGTTTTATAACACCAAAATTAGGAAAATTATTCCAAGTTACATTGTAAAGTAAAAGCACGTTTCCTGACACTGCACTTAATTGAATCATACTACCCATCACACACTACCAAAACAACTTTAACACATAATACACCTTACTAGAAACTCCACAATTCCATATTATATTCAGAATTTGCCGTCCGGCGGGCGGCGACGGGCGCATGAAATATGCGGCCCGTGTCTACCAGAGAGTACACGACACGACACTTTAAAATATTAACACCCTATATAATATACGAATAACCGGATTATCTGTTTAGTTTGAATCAGTTTAGTTGTATGAAAAATTGTTGTTTTGTTGCGTAGAAAAGAGGGCAGTGTTATTCATTGTGATAAAAATGTTCTAAACCCGCATGAAGAGCTACAATTGTATGTTTAGTAATTTTCTAATATGAAATCAAAATCCGAATCGGCATTTTTAACCAATTGTAGAACTTGCAATTTGAAACCTTTTAACTCTATTGATTTAAACTTTAGGTAGTCAGTAGACTCATTTTAAGTTTACAATGTTGGTTACTTAACTGGTTAAAACTGAGACGTGTACCCACAATTTTTGCTTTCAAGAAAAGCAAAGTATGGCGTGAAAAGACATTATCAAAATGTTTAAAATATATTTCCTTGCAATCACAAAACTCGGAATTAACCAAGCTAGCCACACCAGCTTGTATAAAAAGCAAATAAACAATATAACAATGATAGAACAGTTACATCGTGCGCGTATAATGGCGAACAGTTTGTCGGTAGCAGCGCGGCTGAGACATGGGCAATAACTTTAAGAGTTTCAGCTATAAAGTAGCAGGCGACAATACGCCGCTACTCAGAGGTACACTGCGGTTGACTGGACATTCCATACATTTGACCATTTTTGTGAAAACTTGGTGTATTAGTTCATCTTTTATACCACTTGTAACTTTGATTATACATTTTGATTATACAAATAAATTGATAGCATGCTTTTTACATAATACAACGCCACGCCGTTTATAGAGTAGGGTAGGTAGGTAGGCCAATAAATGGTGACCGACGCTAAGTGGAGGATTTGTCTTCAACAGTTTTCTGCCGGCAGTCAAACGCTTTAAGTTAAATATCTTCTTTGGTTCCAGATCCATTTAACACTGAGAAGATTCAAATTCTTATACGTATCATGCATTTGGTAACAGAAAATAGTGAAAGTGTGAGAAAGACATGCTTCGCTCAACCGGAATGATACCACGGGCTCACAGAAAACTGACTTCAAGTCAGTACTGTGAGGCCTGAGGTTCTGTGAGGCTTTATACTGTGAGTGAATATCATGACTTGAAACAACACTTACGTTGTGTTTCGTCGTATGATTGAGGTTACCGAAGGCCCAATTATCCCCGCCTCAATCTCTCCAATCCCCGAATCCACCAACATTACTCAATTTCCTAATCCCCAAAATGCCGACCCAAAACGCACTTGTAACATCTTTGGTGTTTCGAGTGTCCATCAGATAATCCGTCTGCTCGTTTACCGGCTAATACCATTAAAAATGATTATTATTAGCAGTTGATTAGGTTCTATTTTTTACAGAATATGGGATTGTATGGAACTAATTAAAATAGAAACTTGCGTCGCCTTGTTGAAAGATGTCTTTTATGTTATAGCATATAAGGCATAGAATAAACTCTTTTTTCTTTCCATTCGTACATCGTTGTATAGTTTGGCAACAATATGTGAGAACAATCGGACGTAAAAGCCTGTCCGTATGCTCTCATGTGTAGTAATGTAGGCAGCGACCGGCCGAGGTAACGCATTCCTTATAGCTAAGTAATTGAATCTTCAGATGGAAATTATACACGCACTCCATACAAACGGATGGAAAAAGAACTTCGGAGACATATTTTGGAAGCTGTTTTTTACGAAGAAGGATGATTTCTTTTAAGGTAAAGTTTTCACGAAGCCGTTTTACTTTTTTTTTATAAAAACGTTGCCCATAGATATATAAGTGACGTTGCCTCACACTAGGATTGTCTCCTGTGTCGTGGGTACGTTTATAAACATACAAGTTCACATACACATGACACCCAGACCCGGAACAACGATTTGAGGATTACACAAAGAGTTGCTTCGTGCAAGAATCGAACCCGCGACACGATTTTTTGTATTTGTTTTTTTGTAAAAAAAAAGCGTTGCCCCACACTAGGATTGTTTCCTGTGTCGTGGGTGCGTTTACAAACATACAAGTTCACATACACACCCGCGACACGTTGTGTGGCAGCCGGTTGCCCAGCCACCGGACTAATCGTGCTGTCGTTTTATGATCTGTGCTCGAGGCACCAATCGCTATTCAATTTAATGAAAACGAGTAAAAGCTAATTGGAAACCAGTATGACAATGTAAGATAGTTGGAAAATGCCACAGACACATTTTTTGCGAAACGCACATTTGAATTTGAACGAGAATTAGTAGTTACAGTTGTTATGACAATGTGAAACCCATAATTTTTTAGTACTCCAATCGATGTTTACGTGAAATGACGACATTATTTCTTACACATACTCGTAAATAACCCCCTATGTATATATACACGTTACATAAGAGGTATATAAGGCTGAAAATTCGCAATAAACAAGTTTGTACCTGTACACATCCATAAAGCACGTGCCGATTCGAGTTCCGTTCCGCCCACGGTTCCGGTGGGGCCCGCGCCCCGTATGTAAATGTAACGACTCCTAGATGCCGACTTGTTTATGTGATTTAATGGCGACTCCGTTTCAACGGGCACGACATCTTTATTGCCTTATAATAACAGGACGTTTTAATTTTTATGTTGAAAGTTTTTTGGAAGAAACTGTTACCACTTTTCGCTTACAAATTATATGTGTATCTACTCAGTCTTATATGGTATCTTCTGGCACATAATGTTGCCTTTATACTAGGAGTCTTAACCCGTCGAGCGTCCGCGTTCCTTATGATCCAACGGGTGCACATGTGACATTTGGAGAAAGAAAGAAATGAAGAAAAGGCATTTATTTGGCCATTGGCACACGAAAACAAGGATCATTACAATAGAAATAAAAAATACAGTCAAAATTAAAAACAAATGATTAATAATAGATTTCATATAAGAGAAAGCAGCATGGAGTATTTTTTCTTATGATCCACCGAGTGCTCATAAAGACGCTCGAAGGGTTAACTAATCACAGTTATCCAAGAAGCTATCAGAAAAACACTAGGACTGCTGGTCAGTAAAGTAGTAAAGTGCTGTGAAGAAATTTGCTCCAGAGGTCGTGAAAATGATTGGTGCATTATGTAAGGACTTTTACCTGAATAAGCCTTTGACGTTTGAAGACCAACTAGAGCCTTCCGATATTGTTAATACCTGGATGTAAGCTTACACAACAAAAAAACCTTTACCTAAAACTTCTTTATTTATGTGGCTGTGGCCAAATTTCCCTGTTTTTCTCCTGCCAGGTTGTACTGGGAGAACAAGGCCCTGAAATATGTTGTTATCATATTCAACTCGCAAGGAATGAGATGTCCGTGGTATAGTTTTACGCCCCGACTCCGCCTTCCTATTACCTCTCCGCCCGCGGCTCTCTGGTAACTACGAAACATTACATGGACATAGGAAAAATAGAATCTTTAGTAAATTATGATTTAATAAGCTGAAGTAATTTTACATAACAATACAATGATTTTGAACAAAAAAATATTGGTTTAGATGTCAGCGTGGTATATGTGTAATAAAGAGGCATCCTCTATGAAGAATAAGAATTATGTCTAGTAAAGGTATAGTAGACTTGGTTGTTTTAGAACATAACATAACGCCTATTATCCCCGACGGGGTAGGCACTGGTGCACATTAAGTGGGTGTTACATTATACAGCGCTCAGTAACACCTACTTTTCACTATTTATGTTATGAGTAATACTTTGCCCAGGAATCTTTCAACGTAGCAATCGTCTTAGAAAAAGTACTTAAAATGCAACTTCTTCATCTGTAGTTAAAGTCTTGCTACCGAGTATCAAGATACCTACTAGACTATAAGCTAGTTAAAAAAGTGTCTTTAATTAATAAACGATAATTTGAAGTCGGAACATAGTTTTTTGTATAACCAAATAATTCTAAACAAACCTTAGCGTTTCCAGTACCACAAACGCTTAGACCCGGTGTACAAGATAAAAAATAGGAAGAGGTCTGTCGGACGTAAAATACGTAACTTACATATTGGCAGCGGCGGAGCGGCCATATTGAGTGAGAGGTCTACTGATGGCTTTGCTTCGTACTCCTTTATAACTTCATATACTTGAGAATAGTTATTTTTGTATGAGATATACCTACAAGAAGACTATCAAAAAATTTTCCTTTTCATCTCAAAAAGCGTTTTGTAAATAAAAAATGGTAAAATTTACGGCTAACGCATTCAGTGCCCATGACGCGTCTGTGCGTTTTGTGACACGACGCTATGTGCCCGGGACTCAAATATGCGTTCTATTCATTTGACCCTTTTTTTACCTGCTGCCCGTCGACGCGTCCGAGGGTCTATTGTTTCGAAACCCATATTTACACATATGTACTTCCTTATCTGATTTCTTTGATAAAGGTCATTACACACTTTGTACGAATTATAAAAAAAACTTATTCTACTACTACCAATGCAATAATCAATAATTTTGTTCAGCCGTTTCGAAATATATATATACTTAGAACAATTGAAAAAAGAAATATCCACCTAAGACTACGATCAACTTTGGTGGTATTTTTTTTTCAATGTTATCTCGATCATCTCTTTTTTTTCCAAGAAACCTAAAATTTCACATAACAAATACATACGCACAATAGAATCACATTAGTTTGCTGATAACGGCAATACAATGCACGGCGGTGCCTTAAAAGATTTTAAATACCACGAGAGCTAAAGCCAAAATCTACCTAGATACCTAATTGTTTTTCCAAGAAACCTAATATTTCATATGACTCTTATCTACATACGCACAATAGAATCACATTAGTTTGCTGATAACGGCAATACAATGCACGGCGGTGCCTTTGAAGATTTTAAATACCATATCCACCAGGCGCTATAGCCAACTATCGAAATGTTTTAGGATAAACCTATACGAGATAATAAGTACCTTACTAAATATCTATGGTGAAAGACTATAATTTATATATACTGGCATCGCGTCGTGACATACGTTTAAAAATCCAACATCAACCTCCTGTTTTGTCCAGTTGGTTAATTAGTATACTAAACCCATCCCCTAAATGTAACAGAAGTTTTTCTGAAAACCGCATCAAAATCGGTTCAACCAATCGCGAGATAATCGCGTACAAACAAACATACAGGTCAAACTGAGAACCTCATTTTTTTTAAGTCGGTTAAAATACAACAATGTTCTAAATATAAACCTACTTACCAACTATAGAATTATTACGTTCATCCTTAGTTTATATTTAGATACATTTTTCAATTTCACTACATAAAATAAATAATCTTATGGATTATGAATTCCATTACAGTGTGTCATGACCCTAACTTTTATCTACAGATACATAATATTCTATCGTATTTTCGTAAGTATATAACAAACGCACAGACGCGTCACGGGCACTCGCCGAGAGTCGAACGGACGCATATATGAGTTTCGGGCACACGGTGGGAGCCGTAAGAACGCGTATATGAGTTTCCGGCACACGAAAAGGGCAAACATTGAACGCAATAGTGCGTGCGGGGCACTGTAGTATGTCTTATAATTCGGGCACTGGAGAAAATCCACTGGGCAGTGAATGCGCTAAGGCAATTTTCGCACACATGAATTTTTTTTTAATAATCGCAAGAATATGAAATCTTTTTTAAAATATAATACAATTTCCATTAAAACTTTTAGCTTCAGTAACACTCTTGGTTTCTTCTGACCATTTCTAAACTAGGTTATAGTTTGTCTTTAGAATCAAGCTTGTTACTATGTCTCGACTGAGTCTAACACTATCACTATACCGACTAACCTTCTTCATAAGTTCCTATTTATAAAAAAAAAAATGAAAATGAGCCAATAACTATAACAAAGTGTTTTTGAAGGACAAGACAAGGGGTCACTACGGATCCAATTTATGGACAATCTTACCTTCCTTAGGATATTGAATATTTTGCGTGAAGCAAATAAGATTGTCCACACTTGGAGGTCCAGTGGTCCTTATTTGAGGATATGACTTGCAAACGTACTTCCTTCGAAAAATCTGTACTTTTTCTATTATTTTTTTAATCAATGGAAATCTGGTACCATTTGTAGAAGCCTAAACACTTTTCAATAAAACTCATAATTAGGTTCTATGCTTCAAGTTTCCTTTCCGAATTAATTATCAAACTAAATTTTCTGTTTTTGGAACAAATGAACTAGTAACCAAGTCTGTTTAGTATTTTTACATAGTAGATGAGGTGAACATAAACATTAAATGTAATTTCCGACTGACAACGAGGATGAATCTTGTTTTAGTAAATTAATCAAGATTACAATGTTTTTTTATCGTCTCTTTAATAGTGTGATATTTCAAAGTAGGTAAAACTTGACTATGAAGTACATACTCAGCATCTACCTTCAGAACTCGAGTCTCATTCGCCCCAGATACGTATAAATTAAGGCAGAGCTCGGAATATGCATAATAATATATGTTATATGAGCTCCGTACAAACAAACAGTTGTTCTAGCGAGTATAACGCAGGAAGTGTGGTAGCGTACACAATGTCTTATGTTCACCCGACTGGATGTGCAAGGAGGTGGAAATGTCGCGGGACTGGAGGAGGTACTTTTGGTAATGTCAGTGTAGATGAATCTCACTGTTGTCCAAAAAATACATATTTGTTCGTGATGATTTTTTCTTTGGAATAAGGTCAAACGAGCCAATACAAGAATTAGGCGGGTATCGTCTGAAAACATGTCATTGAGTTACAAATTTTAATCCTAACTACGTCATACGTGAGTTCATCAAATATTATTTAACTAACACAAAAAATCATCAAGCTTCTTCAAAGTAAATTGGCGATTTGAAACTGATCATTCCTCAATATAATCCCATATCTACTCACGATAATTTCCTTTGCGCACAGGCCTAATTTCTAAATGACTAGTTTGTCAACCTGCCCACAGAGCACTCTGCCTTTGCACTGAAAGTCACGACAATAACATAATCGAGTTCCTCGTCAAACAAGTATGTGAGTAAGATTAATTAATTTAGTCTCACGAAACTTATAATATAAATGACAAAGTGTTTGTCAATACAGTTTCGGCCGGACCTTCTGCAGTTTTCAATGACTTAAACAATGTTAAACAAAG